GAGCTGAAAAGTCGGGTGCCCAGAGCCTGTGGGACAGGTCACACACGCTGATGGTGGGTCACCGTGGCTGAGCCCCAGGTGGGTACTCAGGGGACACTCTCCCCTCTGACCCTTCCGCCCCCCAAGTTTGGCTGCCTACCTTTGCACCCATGAGCTCCCTGGCTCCCAGCCAGGTTTGCTACACCCTATGTGGCCTCAGTGGGTGCAGAAGAAATCTGCAGGACCTTCCCCTTGGCACGGACCGTGCGCGGCCACGCCACAGGCACCAGCCAGCCCCCAGCCTTACTTTCAGGTGGAGGTGGTCAGTCCATTGCCCGATGACTTTGTACTCAGGAGTGGAGTTCCTGATCTGGTACTGGTAGATGTCGTAACGCCCCGGTGCGTCTCCATTCTCGTTGAACGTCACAGGAGTCCCAGCAATGCCTGCAAGAGAGGGAGGGCTCAGCACCTGCAGCACCCAGCAGCATGGGGTGCCCTGGGTGACGGTGTCGAAGGGGGCTCTGGTTTGATGCTTCTCCCTCGGCGCGGGGTTTCTCACTGCTGGGAGTGCTGCAAGCTGCCAGGACGATGCCAGCACGGGCACAGGGTGGAGGAAGCAATTGGGGAAAAAAAAAAAAAACCAATCCCAAACCCAAGCTGGTGCAGGGACCTTATGGTATTGACCCACCGACCCCCCCAGGAGCCGGAGCTCACCGAGTGATGCCGGGCACTGAGCACTGTTACACCAGCCGGGTTACTGCTTCTTTTAAGAAAGGGGGAAAAAAACCAGCTTTAAAGTTAAATCAAGTGAACTGTGCAGATAAACATTAATGAAAGGAAGGAAGAGAAAAATCAAGCAAGAGGGAAAAATAAATAAAAGAGACACTGCAAAGGAGATCACAGAGTGGAGATAAATAGAAGTAATAAGGAGGACAAGACAGAAAATGTTTATTAAGGAGATAGAGCAGAGGAAAAGATGAGTTTCCAGAGGAGATCTGGAAGACAGACAAGGCCACGGCAGCGTGATTCGGGGG